GTTACATGCTTCTACAGCCCTCCTATCCAAACAGAAAACAAAGTGAGTGGCTAATTGCAAGTCACCTGAAAACTTAAACTGGGCCATCAGCTGATTTGGCAGGATTTTGAGCCGTTGGATAGAAAATGAACGGTTCAGCTCACATCTTCTTCCTCCAACTGCTCTTCTTCCTAGAAAACGGATCACTATCTCCCCCTCCCCTCTTTTTTTTTTTGGAAAAAGTGGTCATCCCCGGCCTCTGCATCGGAAAGATGCATGCGGCCACTTTACTAAAAAGCCGACAGTAACAAAGTCTGATCTGCATAGTACTGCCCACAAAAGGAACAAAGCAAAAATAAAGAGTACAAGTCTCAAAGCCACATCCGGCTGGACGAGGATACACTAAGGACCTATCCTATGTAGTGATCGCCATCCAAACCGGTTGAAAAAAATCCGTGCTGCCATCTCCCATCGGTTGCACCCAGTAGCCAGCTGCTCCCGGGAGGCCGTAGGAGTGAGTAATGACCACATACGGATCCATGCCGTAGCCTGGAATATGACCTGCAAAAAATTAATCATAAGTTTTCTGTTAAAAATCACCGTTCGAGCAGTGATCCCCCCTCCCCCCTGCCGCCTACTACCACCGTTCGAGCTGCCGCCCTCGGCCGAGGTGCTCCGGCGCCAGCCTCGTCCCCCTCCCCAACCACCGCCCTCTGCCAATCTCTAATTCCGGCGCTGACCTTTTTCCGGCAAACTTGCACCACCCCTAAGATAGATATGGGAGTCTTATCTGGCGAGCTCCTCCCTTCCCTCCAACTGTTCCTTTCTTCACATGAAAATCGACTAGCCCAAATTCCAAATTTAGGCGACTTACATACAACTATTGTGGAAAACAATATATGTTTACACTAGGAATGGTTTCCCTAGTTTTGTTATTTTTCAAACCTTTTATTAATAATATGGCCGCATGCATCTTTCAGATGCAGAGGCGGGGGTGAGCCTCCCTTTTCCAAAAAAAAGAGGAATGGTTTCCCTTGTAACCATTATTATGGTCTGTGCACAGTAATATACAAGGTGATCTTATTATAGGTGGAGTCTACATGGTTTCCCCCACAAAAGAAGGAGAGTCTACATGGTTTCCAAACAGGACCATAGTGCTGGCAAACGTGGAATAGAAAACGAATGATTGTAGTCACATCTCCTGAATCCAACGAATTAGAAAACTACATGAATTTGATTGAAAGAGTGTTTGATATATCCCTATAAAAGCGAAGGAATTCTATAATGAGATTTCGTGGGTGCACACTTTTCTCTAGAATAAAGTGCAAATGAATTCTAAGGAAAACTACCGGGCATTTCACTCATCTGAATCAAACAACCAATATAGAAAATTTTCCCATGATATAAATACTCTAAAAAAATATAAAATTCTTTTGAATCAAAACCTCAGCCTCTACTACGTAATAATATGGTTGTGTGCACATAGCTCGATGCAAAACTGAGGCTTGCTCCCCATTGCAAGAAAAAAAAAGTCTTACCCTCTCTTATGCTTCGTCAAGTTACTTTCGTTGTCGTCACACGCCAGCACTTTCAATCTACACTCTCCGTCCCATAATATAAGAGCATTTTGAGACGGAGAGACGGAGAGACGGGGGGAGTAATAACGTTCTTATAGGAGTATTATAAAATGGAGGGAGTATCATCTTCATAAGCAAACAATACCATTTTCGCAAGAGAAAAGAAGGATGGGATGATGATTTTGGAGAATCATCTTCTTCCCGGACGAGGACGAGTGAGCTGGGACGTGGCGACCGGGACGCGCCAACTGCCCATCAGAGGCCCGGCTCCTCTAGTCGGCAGCCACTGACGCGACCACACGTAGCGCCCAGCCGCGGCGATTCGTCCATCTGACCACCCTCTTTATGGGCTAGTCGGCACTCACCTGCCCGTCCACACGCGAGCGCATTCTGTGCAGCTTGGTCATTTTTATGTTTGGTTTCTCTGCGGCCTTCTTCTCAAATGTAGAATTGTGTGCTTCCTTGCGGTTTAGAGTTGCGCATTTGCTCGTTGATAAATCATGTAGCCTCATTCTGAATGTTGGGACAAAACTGTAACGTTATGTGTGTGTAACGCAACCATTATTTTCAAGCGTGTGCGATGGAAGTAATGCTTTGAAAAGAAGTATATACTTGTCTGAATGTTTGTTCTTGTCCTCCCTTGCAAAGATGGTAGCGCCATACTCTGCCATGTTACCACTAGCTAGAGCGCGAAGAACTTGCAGGAACACGATTTACTGAAGACATTTCGAAATGTCTTGGCCACAGGGGTGCGTTATCGCGTGATGTTTGCGTCCGGGATGTCAAATAACAACAAGGTAAGACGGCATTAGGAGAAAATGAAGATTTCACCCGGCCGAGACGACCAAACGTATCTCCGCACCCCATCATTCTGATTCTGAATCGTTAGTGTTAGCAGCCCTGGCTCCATTACTCGAAAGAAGCCTGTGATCACGTTCAATTTTACAACGTTGTATGAAAACAAAAGAAGCGCTCCGCAGCAAGAAAGTGCTCTTTTTTATCCCGAGCTCACATGCTCCCCGATGAACAATACAATCCGAAAAATTAATAAATTAAATTCAAAAAATTCTGAATTTCTTTTTGTGATAAGCATTGATGGAAGTTTTAACATCCTGCAAATTTTCGTGATGAGGTACGCTGGAGGCAGCCCTTTCAGTTTTCAGTGGAGAACAGATCATTGAGATCGATTTTCTCCCCACTTTTGGGTGATCTGTCTTACTTCTGCTTTGGCTCACTAGCATGCATCTAATGGAATCCCCAACCTGCATTTAAATACTGCACTGAAACTATCTATAGCTTAGCAAATCAAGTTTGTTTGATGCAAAAATTCTGAGGATGTTACTCTCTGCTATTGTCTTTGCAAATTGCCTGCTTCACAGTTTTGATTTCATTGTGGTTGTGATTCTTTACTGCTAAAATACGAGGGATAGTAGTGACATGTCCTGAATCCTATGAATTATAAAACTACATGAATTCAAATGAAAGAGTGTTTGATATATCCCTACAAAAGCAATGGAATTCTGCACAGAGATTTTAGTGGATGCGCGTTTTTCTCCAAAATGAAGTGCAAATGAATTCCAAGGAAAATCACCAAGCATTTCAGTCCTATGAATGAAATAGGCAACATAGAAAAATCCCTAGGATCTAAATCAGTCAAAAAATCCTACTGTATAAAATCATTTTGAATCAAAGCCCTTAACCTCTCGTATGCTTCGTCTAGTTACTCTCGTAGCCTCATTGTCGCTATATGCCGACACTTTCGATCTTCCATCCTCTTAAGCAAACAATTCATTTTCTTTTGCAAGAGAAAAGAAGGGTCAGATGTTTTTGGGGAATCATCTTCTTCCCGGACGAGGACGAATGAGCTGGGACGCGCCGACCGGGACGAATGAGACGGACGTGGCGACCGGGACGCGCCGACTGGCTTGAGAGGCCCGGCTCCTCTAGTCGGCAGCCACCTGCCGACCCACTGACGCGACCACACGTAGCGCCCTGCCGCGGCGATTCGTCCATCTGACCAGTGACCACCCCTCATTATGGGCTAGTCGGCACTCACCTGCCCATCGACTCACGAGAGAACACGTCGTGCTTCGTCTATCCTCTAACGGCCTATAAATAGTGCCTCATGCAGCACCTGCTTCACACAACCACCTGCTCCAAGTGAACAACACCACTAGTAGATTTCCCGAGTGACAAGTTCGGCGCTGGATGGAGCACCAGGGACACGGCACCGGCGAGAAGAAGAGCATCATGAGCAAGATCAAGGAGAAGCTCTCCAGCAGCCACGGTGATCACCAGCCGGCCGCTGCCACCCACGGGCAGCAGGGACACACCACTGCGGGGACGCATGGCACCCCGGTCACCCATGGTGCCTACGGGCAGCACGGACACACCGGAGCCACCGGCACGGGGATGCACGGCGCCGACACCGGCGAGAAGAAGGGCGTCGTGGAGAACATCAATGACAAGCTCCCTGGTGACCATGAGGACCATCAGCAGACTGGTGGCACCAACGGTCAACAGGGACATACTGTCGCGGCGACGCATGGCGCCTCAGCTACCGATGGCACCTATGGCCAGCAGGGAAACACCGGTATGGGGACACATGGCACCCCGGCCACCGATAGTGCCTCCAGGCAGCACAAACACACTGGGTCCACCGGCACGGGGATGCACGACACCGACATCAGCGAGAAGAAGGGCGTCATGGAGAACATCAATGACAAGCTCCCTGGTGGCCATGGGGACCACCAGCAGACTGGTGGAACCTACGGGCACAAGGGACACATGACCGCGGCGACGCATGGCGCCTCAGCCACTGATGGTGCCTACGGGCAACATGGACACACCAGGGCCACCGGTACAGGGATGCACGGCGTCGACACGGGCGAGAAGAAGGGCAACATGGAGAACATCGATGACAAACTCCCTGGTGGACATGGGGACCACCAGCAAACTGCTGGCACCCACGGCCATCAGGGACACATCGTTGCGACGACGCATGGCGCCTCGGCCACCGACGACACGTATGGGCAACAGGGAAACACCAGCACGGGGACACATGCCGCGCCGGCCACCGATGGTGCCTATGGGCAGCATGGACACACCGGGGCCACCGGCACGGGGATGGATGGCGCCGACATAGGCGAGAAGAAGGGCGTCATGGAGAACATCAATGACAAGCTCTCTGGTGGCCACGGGGACCACCAGCAGACTGGTGGCACCTACGAGCAGCAGGGACACACCGATGCGGCGACGCATGGCGCCTCAGCCACCAGCGGCACCTATGGGCAGCAGGAAAACACCGGTACGGGGACACATGGTGCCCCTGCCACCGATGGCGCCTACGGGCAACACAGACACACCGGGGCCATCGGGAC